TCCTCATTCATTTCCTTCATGTTCCTCATTGGAAAGGTCACTGGGTCCGGGCTCCATACAGTGCTCTCTGGCTAGATGCACAGGCTGGTGAAAGACAGAGACAGCATGTCGCCTTGATTATGCACTGTAATACATGCTGTGTTGAGATGGTAACCTGTACCTGTGGAAGTTAAATAACGAAGGAAGATCAGGATTGTCAGTGTCAACAAGGCGGAAAAACCATTCCAGACAGAAGTCACTGTATACAAAAGGCAGAAAGAGATTTGGTTCTTGCAGGAAAACAGCAAATTAGCCAAGATGACATAGTCAGGCGGTCTTGCCCCACAGCCTCTCACTCTGGCCCCACGTTTTGTAAATAATGTTTATATAATAGCTGAGATCACTTACAGCACTGGACATGCGCATCATGAGGTACTTGCTTGGTCACGAGGTCCTCGCTTCGGCCCGAGGTACTCATTTGGTCACGAGGGTACTCGCCTGGTCACGTGGTACTCGCTTGGTCACGAGGTAGTCACTTGGTCATGAGGGACTTGCTTGGTCACGTGGCACTCGCTTGGTCACGTGGTACTTCATCACAAGGCACTCACTTGGTCAGGAGGTACTCTCACTTGGTCACGTGGTACTTGCTTGGTCAAGTGGTACTTCATCGTGAGGTACTGACTTGGTCATGAGGGACTTGCTTGGTCACGTGGCACTCGCTTGGTCACGTGGTACTTCATCACAAGGCACTCACTTGGTCAGGAGGTACTCACTTGGTCACGTGGTACTTGCTTGGTCAAGTGGTACTTCATCGTGAGGTACTCACTTGGTCATGAGGTACTTGCTTGGTCACGTGGCACTCGCTTGGTCACGTGGCACTTCATCACAAGGTACTCGCTTCCTCACGGGGTACTCACTGGGTCACGAGGTACTTGCTTGCTCACGATGTACTCATTTGCTCATGAGCTGCTTTGTGCGATAGGCCTGGGAGAGCTTCCCCAGGAAAGCCCTGGCTGCTAGAGCACTGGGGCTGCACTGGGGTGGTGTCATGGCTGTTTTCGTGAGCTGCTGTCATGGCCGTGTTATGGCTCCACTATGGTTATGCTGTGGCTGGTGCTACAGCTGCGGCAGCAACCAGTAGAGAGGCTGTGCTATGGCCGCTGTGTCAGCCAGGAGCGAATAAGCTGTGTTATGGCCGCTGTGTCAGCCAGGAGCGAATAAGCTGTGCTACGGCCGCTGTGTCAGCCAGGAGCGAATAACCGAGTCTGCAGTTCTTATGGCTCCTCAAGTCTCCTTCCATCCTCTTAGTTGGTGCCTTGCCTGCCCTGGGTTCAGCGGACAGTGTGAACAGCAAGACAGCTGGCGTCAAGAGCAGGATCAGTGATAACCGTTCTGTAGGAACTTGTGTGGATCTTGGGAATTAAGGGAACAAGGCTTACCCTTGCTGAGTATGCCTGAGTAAGATTCTGTCTATAAAAGCATTTTGTACTCAGAGCATGTAGGAAACACATCAGTGCTTTGAAAAGATTTATCTTTAGGAGTGAGGAGGCGCTGGTAAGAGCGAGATACAGAGAAGTTTTGGAGGCAGAAGAGACTACATGATGACTGATTGGAGGTGAGAAGGGATCTGTGGAAGATGTTACCTGGATATGTGACTTAGACATTTATAAAGACTTTTGGCTCAGATAAGTTGCCAGAGGAACTGTTGCAAATTCGGGGGTGGAAAATCATAATTTTAAAATTACATGTAAAGTTAGAAATGATGACAAGATGGCTGTATGGAGATGTGAGAATACTTAACCAATTATACTGTAATTTTTTTTTTTCCTATCATGCTATATTAACTTAGACTGGGAGCTCTTCAAGAGCTTGTCTTATGTTTTTATCCAGATGTTTTTCATATATCTCTTAGCATATTATAAAAGCTTAAAAATATTATAGGAAAATGGATCAGGATGGAACGAGTACATAAATAATTGTAGCATAAGAAAAATTATATGAAATGGGAAAAAGCTAAAGAAATACATAAGGAACTTAGCAGAGACATCTTTGAGCATAGAAACCAAATTAATACTCATCCCTAAAACCCTTGTCCTTTGGAATATGCAGTGCTTCACTGAGAAAATTTTTACTGATCCAACATGTCCAACATGATCCAACTTAAAATGGAGATTCACATTAATAAGTTTGAATGTTGAAAAAAAATGACTGTTTTCATCTTTTAATTTTGTGGATTGTGGAAGTAATTCTAGAGAATATATCTTCATTGAAAATATACTTTGTCCCCATAGCATATCAGTATAAATACAAATTGTAAACTTTTATCCTGCTACCCATTTTAAAATGATTTTTCCTCGCAGAGTGTTTGCTTAAATCTTTTCTTTAGTTAAATGTAAGTGTAGTCACATCCCACATTAACTAAATTTATTAATATGTAATAATTAAATATTATTTGTTCTCACAATGCTTTCAGGGAGATAAGTCAGAATAAGTACTTACCTAAGAAATATAATTTTTAGTTGAGAGTATGATTAATGAAATACTCATATATAAAAGCCATTGAAATTTTCAAAAGTCCATCATTAATGCTTAATATCTGTTAGCTGAGTATATCTAGATCTTATAGAATATAATGAAAATATGTTTTCATTAAAAATGTCTCTATTGACCGGTTTATTAAGCATCTTTTAAATGCTAGGAATTGTACAGGTACTGGGAGTATGTAGATCCCCTGCCCTTGACTGTTTTATAGTCTGGTGAAATGTCCTTCAAATTTAGTGATTAAGAGAGTCCTGGGAACTAAGACGTCTCAGTTCTTAGTTCCAGAGACTTCAGCTTCATAGAGCTGGAAAGCCTTCTAGACATTAGCATTTGCAAGACATCTCAGTTGGTTTGGAGACTTTTAAAAAAGGGAAAAAGTGATTTGCCTAAGTACTTCTACAATGCATTATAAATGAGAATGGCGTTTTTAAGCCTGGTAACCCCAGTGTTTACATTATTACTGGCAACAGAATAGAAGAGGACAAATGCATAATGCTTATCAGGAAAGTGATGTCTGTCTTAAAAAGTAAAAATTGTGCTTTCGTTGTTGCATGAAAATATTATGTTTATAAAAGCTGGTTAGCTGATTTATCCATGTAATATGTTAACTATTTCATTCATTTTCATGGAATGGACATCTTTAGACAGTCATCTCTGTAGTCAATTATTTACTATATAAAGAGTATAGAAATTAAGTATTTGATGAAATATAATGAAAATTGATTCTTTTCTCATTTCCGCTTTCTGAACCATATAACATCATGAAGATTCTCCTTTAGTTTGTAATTGTTAAATTAAATGACCTAATGAATGGTAAAGTTATTTTATGAGTCACTAGTGAAAAACTTATCAAAATCATGAAAATGTTTCTCTGTAGACAAGAGGAAAGTACATAGAAAACATGACAATGGTCAAATGAGACCTTCCAAAAAAAAGTTAGACAACTGTATCTATATAAGCATTAACAATCAATAAGGCAAAACCAACATTTTATTTTCCTAATGTTAATATTTAAATTTTATTTGTGTGATACTAAACCTCATATTCAGAAAAAAATTCTTAAGCATTAAGTTTGGTTATTATGAAGAATTCAGAGAGAATGGCTGTTATTTAGAAATTGGAATAATGCTTAAAATGAAAAGAAGAAAAAAATGAAAAAAGGCAAATGTTATTTGGATTTTTAAAATAATTTCCTTATGTGTAAGCTACAAAAGAGTAGCATATATCTCCTTGTTCAGTTCAGTCGCTCAATCGTGTCCAACTCATTGTGAGTCCATGGACTGCAGCACACCAGGCCTCCCTGTCCATCACCAACTCCCGGAGCTTGCTCAAATTCATGTCTATTGAATTGGTGATCCCATCCAACCATCTCATCCTCTGTCATCCACTTCTCCTCCCGCCTTCAATCTTTCCCAGCATCAGGGTCTTTTCCATTGACTCAGTTCTTTGCATTAGGTGGCCAAAGTTTTGGAGTTTCAGCTTCAACATCAGTCTTCCAATGAATATTCAGGACTGATTTCCTTTAGGATTGACTGGTTGTATCTCCTTGCAGTCCAAGGTACTCTCAAGAGTCTTTTCTAACACCATGATTCAAAATCATCAATTCTTCAGTGCTTTGCTTTCTTTATAGTTCAGCTCTCACATCCATACATGACCACTGGAAAAACCATAGCCTTGACTAGACAGACCTTTGTTGGCAAAGTAATGTCTCTGCTTTTTAATATGCTGTCTAGGTTGGTCATAGCTTTCCTTCCAAGGAGTAAGTGTCTTTTAATTTCATGGTTGCAGTCCCCATCTGCAGTGATTTTGGAGCCCCAAAATGTAGTCAATCACTGTTTCCGTTGTTTCCCCATCTATTTCCCATGAAGTGATGGGACTGGATGCCATGATCTTAGTTTTCTGAAAGTTGAGCTTTAATCCAATGTTTTCACTCTCCTCTTTCACTTTCATCAAGAGGCCCTTTAGTTCTTCTTCACTTTCTGCCAAAAGGGTGGTGTCATCTGAATATCTCCTTGAGTCCTGGAATTTAAGGCCATGTAGTAGATTAAAATTATTGAATGTTGAATGTAAAGCTATAAGAGACCTTAGTTATAATTTATTGTACAAAGTCTCATCTTATGAATGAGAGTTATCCAAAGTCATATATCTTGTTAAGAACAGATTCTAGTTAGAAGCTTCAGAATACCTCCTCCACATTTAACTCAAAGTGAATTAGAAAAATTATGTAAAGGATATGAGTTATGAACTAGTTATTCTTGATCATTTAGGAAAAAAAATATACTTTTTTCTTAGATTCAGATGCGATAAAACACAAAATTTCCTTTTTAAAATAAATTTTTAATATATATTTTTAATAAAATGTCCTTTATTAATTTATTTTCCCAGTTTTATTATCACTGTCATAACTTCTCATTGGGCTTCTTTTTGCAACTAATCTTTAGATTTGTTGGGTAATAACTGGAAAATGTTGCTTTTTGCAGCTGGATGAAGAAGCCTCGATGCGGTGTGCCTGACCAGACAAGAGGGAGCTCCAAATTTAATATTCGCCGAAAGCGGTACGCATTAACAGGCCAGAAGTGGCAGCACAAGCACATCACTTACAGGTAAAATAACTAAGGATGATTTATTGTTTTGTTTTGTTTTTCCATTTTTTACAACTATTTGACATTTTTGTTGAGATCTTATACACATTGACTCCATGGTAACATATAGTGATGTTCTGGTAACATGAACCAAAAATTGCAATTAAGAGAATAAGTTGTCCATTTGGGGGCCCAGTACACAGGCCTTTCTTGAAACACTTGTAAACTCAAATCTTCCAACTTCTTTAGCAAATTCTAATATTCTGAGAAATTTTCAAATGAATATTCTAATACACAACATTCTTTAACAAGTATTCATGATCAAAAAAATTATCAAAGTATGTAAATAATTGCAATGTAAACAATATGTCTTTGAATTATTAACTAACTTTTAGTATTAGTGCAACCATTTCACTTTCTATTTTTGACAATGATGCAATGTATCTTCTGTTCTTGTCTGCAATGAAGGATGCCCAAGGGATGAGAGTATCTTCCAATCTGGAGTGGCAGTTGGCTCCTGGTGGAGATGTTCGTATTTATTCACTAATTAATTGAACATTTTTTTGAGTCCCAGTTTGGACAAAGAACAGTGCTAGATTCTTGAGGTATAAGAATAAATAAAGCCTAGAGACTTCACCTTTCCTCATGGTATTACAGTCATATGGAGAAGTTGAACAGCCATATGAATGCAATGCCCATTTTGAAAGGGAAGCAACAGAATGCAAGAGAAGTATAATCCATGGTCATTCAACCTAATTTAGTAATCCAGGGCTGGTCTCCCTTCTGTCTTAAAAGTAATATGGTATATTAAAGGAAATTCTCTATATGATCACCTTAATACAAAAATGTGTTCAAGAAAATTTAATTCCACTTATGATAATTTGGAATTAAAGCAAAGAAGAGGTTTAATCAGAAAAGTGGCATCTACAAAAACAAAAATCACCTCTGCCTTATGTATTTCACATATAACATGAACACTATAATGTGAGGTGTTGGGAAAAATACTGTTAAGGAAAACAACAAAGTACTTGCTCTTTCTACCTGCTTCCAACAACATTGCACAGCTACTTATAGTTGTAATAAAATAAAATAAAAGATGTAACAATTTTTAAAGAAATAAAACTATCTTTAGTCATAGTTGTATTACTTTCTAACAGAACACCCAGAATAAACTCTAGGTAATTTTTTAGGAATAATAAAATATATCCAGGTTAAAAAAAAATAGATTTTATTTTTAGAGCCATTTTATTTTTTTATTTTTTTTTCACATTTTCTTTTCTTTTTTTTTTTTCATTTATTTTTATTAGTTGCAGGCTAATTACTTTACATCATTGCAGTGGTTTTTGTCATACATTGAAATGAATTAGCCATGGATTTACATGTATTCCCCATCCCGGTCCCCCCTCCCACCTCCCTCTCCACCCGATCCCTCTGGGTCTTCCCAGTGCACCAGGCCCGAGCACTTGTCTCATGCACCCAACCTGGGCTGGTGATCTGTTTCACCCTAGATAATATACATGTTTTGATGCTGTTCTCTTGAAACATCCCACCCTCGCCTTCTCCCAGAGTCCACAAGTCTGTTCTATACATCTGAGTCTCTTTTTCTGTTTTGCATATAGGGTTATCATTACCATCTTTCTAAATTCCATATATATGTGTTAGTATACTGTGGAAACTATAAGCAAGGTGAAAAGACAGCCCTCAGATTGGGAGAAAATAATAGCAAACGAAGCAACAAAGGATTAATCTCAAAAATATACAAGCAACTCCTCCAGCTCAACTCCAGAAAAATAAATGACCCAATCAAAAAATGGGCCAAAGAACTAAACAGACATTTCTCCAAGGAAGACATACAGATGGCTAACAAACACATGAAAAGATGCTCAACATCACTCATTATCAGAGAAATGCAAATCAAAACCACAATGAGGTACCATTACACGCCAGTCAGGATGGCTGCTATCCAAAAGTCTACAAGCAATAAATGCTGGAGAAGGTGTGGAGAAAAGGGAACCCTCTTACACTGTTGGTGGGAATGCAAATTAGTACAGCCACTATGGAAAACAGTGTGGAGATTTCTTAAAAAGCTGGAAATAGAACTGCCATATGACCCAGCAATCCCACTTCTGGGCATACACACCGAGGAAACCAGATCTGAAAGAGACACGTGCACCCCAATGTTCATCGCAGCACTGTTTATAATAGCCAGGACATGGAAGCAACCTAGATGCCCATCAGCAGACGAATGGATGAGGAAGCTGTGGTACATATACACCATGGAATATTACTCAGCCATTAAAAAGAATTCATTTGAATCAGTTCTAATGAGATGGATGAAACTGGAGCCCATTATACAGAGCGAAGTAAGCCAGAAAGATAAAGACCATTACAGTATACTAACACATATATAGAGCCATTTTAGGTTTACAGAAAAGTTGAGCAGATAATACAGTTATTCTCAACCCCCCCCACCCCCAACTTATATACACACTCACACAGTTTCTCTCTTATTAGGTGTTTGTTACAATTGTTGAACCAGTATTGCTATATTACTGACTAAAATCAATAGTTTGCACCAGAGCTCACTATTTGTGTCACAGTTTTACAGGTTCTGAGAAATGCATATCATAGAGCATTACAGTGCCCACATGTGTGCATGCGTAGTCGATTCAGTCATGTCCGACTCTTTGCTATCTGTAAATGGTAGCCCACCAGGCTCCTCAGTCCATGGGATTCTCCAGGCAAGAATACTGAAGTGGGTTGCTGTGCCCTCCTCAGAGGATCTTCCCAGCCCAGAGAGCAAACCCACGTCTCTTGCATTGCAGGCAGGTTCTTCACCACTGAGCCACTGGGAAGTCCCGTAGCATTACAGTATCACACAGAAGAGCCTGACTGCCTTGAAAGTCCTTTGTTGCGCCTACTCATCCCTCTTCCCTGGAAACTACTGGTGGTTTTAATATCTTTATAGTTTTTGCCTTTCCTAGAATGTCATATGCTTGAAAACACCAACCATGGCCATTTCAGCTGTGCCTTTTCAGATTACCTTTGTTCACAAAATAATATGCTTTAAGTTTCCTCTGTCTTTTCATGACCTGATAGCTCATTTCTTTTTATTGTATTACTGAGTAATATTCCATTATATGGGTTTATCACAGCTTGCTTACCTGTTCATCTGCTGATGATTTCTTGGTTGCTTCCACTTTTTGGCAATTATTAGTAAGGTTGATATAAACATGCATTCTGGTTTTTGTGTGGGCTTTAATTTTCAACTTATTTGTCTAAACACCTGGATGTGGAATTTTGCTGATCATAAGGTAAGACTATGGTTAGCTTTTTATGTAACTACCAAACTATCTTCCAAGTGGCTATACCATTTTCCATTGCTACCAGTGATGAATGAAAGTTACTGTTACTCTGCAAGTTTGTCAAGATTTAGTGCTGTCAATGTTCTGGATTCTAATAAGTGGTTACTCAATTTTTTAACTCGCAATTCTCTAATGAATTGTGAAGCTAAGCATATTTTCATATTTTACTTGTTTGCCATCTGCACATCATCTTTTGTGAGATGACTGTTTAGATCTTTTGATCAACTTTTGAGTTGTTATTTTAAGGGTTCTATGTATATTTTGGATCACAAATATTTTATCAGATATATTTTCAATTTGTTGTCTCAGTCCATGGCTTGACATTCCATTGTCTTTTCAGTGTATTTTGTAGAAGTTTTAATTTTAATGAGTTCCAACTTATCAATTATTCTCTTTTCTATATTTTGCTTTTGGTGTTTTATCAAAAAAACATATCCAAACCAAAGGTCACTTGGAATTTCTCCTATGTTATCTTTTAAAATTTTAATAGTTTTACATTTACTTTTAAGATTATGATCCATTTTTGAATTTTGTTTTTGTGAAAGGTGTAAAGTCAGTTGTCTAGAATTTAAGTTTTTTGCCCATGAATTTCCAGTTTTTCTAGCACTATTATAGGTTAGAAAGACCATCCTTTCTCCATTGCCTTTGATCTTTTATCAAAGGTCAGTTGCCTATGTGTGTAGGTAAATTTCTGGGCTCTTTATTCTGCTTCATTGAATTATGTGTCTACTCATAAAACAATGTTACATTTCTGGATTACTATAGTCTTCATATAAGATACTGTCAATTTTCCGATTTTATTCTTCAGTATTTTGGTGTGTTTTCAGCATCTCTTACCTTCCCACATAAACTTTAGATTTAGTTTGCCATCACAGGCATCCCTCAGAAATATTCCGGGTTCAGTCCTAGACCAGCACAGTAAAGTGAATATATCAGTCAAGCAGAAATAGCAAATAAAATAAATGTCATGAGTTTTTTGGCTTATCAGTATGTCTAAGTATAGAAGTTCTGTTTACACTATACTGTGGCCTATTCAAGTGTACAACTGCATTATGTCCAAAGCACCATGTGCATGCCTTAGTTAAAAATGCTTTATTTATTAGAAATTGCTAACCTTCAGTTGTTGATAACTGCTGAGTGATCAAGGTGGTGGTTGGTGAAAGTCACTGTCTGAGGCAATTTCTTAAAAGAAGACAATATTGAATCTTGCTACACTGATTGACTCTTTCCTTTATGGGTGATTTCTTTGTAACATTCAGTGTTGTTTAATAGCAGTTTACCCACAGTAGCCCTTCTTTCAAAACTGAAGTCAGTTCTCTCAAACTCTGCCACTGTTTTATCAACCAAGTTTACATCATATTCTAAATCCTTTTTCTGTTATTCCAACAATCTTCATGGCATCTTCACCTAGAGTGGATTCCATTTCAAGAAACCATCTTCTTTGCTCATCAGTAAGAATCAGCTTCTCACCACTTAAAGTTTTATCATGGGATTGTAACAATTCAGTCATATCTTTAAGCTCATGTTTGCTTTTCATTGTCATGTTATTTCTACCACATCTGCAGTTATTTCTTCCACTGAAGTCTTGAACCACTCGAAGTCATCCATGAAGATCAAAATGAATTTTTTCCAAACTCCTATGAATATTGATATTAT